CTTGTTCGAGGAAAGAAAGCGTATTAGTGCTCTGGGCTAATCGGTCGGGTAGAAGCTCGTAACAAGAGCAAGCATCGGAGAAAGCATATGTACTCGTTCTCGAGTCAGGAAAGCACTTGTTGGCATTGGCGTCAGAAAGTAAAAGCAAGCAAGTAGTTTCGGCATTGGCTACTACTTCTTCCCCATGGGCCAGGTTCTGTTCTTGAAATAGCATAAGTGATCCTACAAAACCGGCGATGCCAGACCAATCAAGCGTATCATGTCGACTTTCGAATCCGGGACTTGACTATCCTTAAGATAGCAGTTCCCTGGTCAGGAAAGCGGAGTCACTAGAACGATATGAGATACACGCACATCTCGATAAGCCAATCCCAATCCCTTCAACCCAACCTTTACCAAAAGGGGAAACTGTAACAACAATGACCCTGGCTCAGATTCCAATAGGGCTTCTGCTTCTTGTGCTTGGCAAGGTCAAGTATATACACAGTCTAAAGCCACAAGAGAAGGTATGATAGGACAAGTGTCGTTCGATGCCTTGTAACCATTTCCATATTCTGGTCCGGGTTCTAGGTCTAAAAGAAGCATTGGCTGTGTTGATCTGTCTCCAGGTCGTCTATTTGAAAGGGAAAGCCCAGTGTGTTCGTTCCTCTACTATATGGAATCCTTGATATCTTGCCTTGGTTCCGACTCTAAACCGTTCTAAATAGATTCTTTCTACATACTGATGTTGGCAGTTATGCCTAGGTGATAGATGTATGTTGCTGGATTGGAAAGCTATACGATCCCTTTTATTCAATTATGACCGCTGAGAGGATGGCGCAATAGTATCAATTGACTTTCCACAATTGTTTGAACGGTAGGTTCGGAGATAATCGTATAGATGATGAGTAAATATCCGAGAGTTGGCCAACAACTTGAAATCTGTCATAATGGTCCTGTGGAGACACGCCTGATAGAAACATGCTGAGAAATCAGTGTTCTAGTTGCCTGTATACCAATCTCCGTTCAAGTCGACATTCTTAGTCATCTATGAGTGCTTGGCTCTACCTTTTAAGCTAGTCTAACAACAGACTCTGCTATTACAGTTCCATCTAAAGATAGAGTATTCTTTGATCAGTTGAATCATAGTAGAAACTATCTAAAACCAGGATTCTATTAGAATAGGTTCTCAGTGCTCGTGAACGGCAGTACTATTGTTTATTTTACATGTGGTGGAGTGACACGAGATTGGGATCACCACAATGAACCGAAACAGATTCACCTTAGCTTTGAATGAGGGTCGTCTTATATACATAACGATTTGGAATTTCCTGAATAATAAAAGGGAGATTATTTTCTCTAAGGTGATAGGACTAACACAACCTCCATTAGCATGCCTCGGCAAAGCTTATTATGATATATTGTTAATGAAAATGTCAAAGTAGCACTCTCTTTCCTCTACTCGCCCCTGGCGCCACCGCTAACCAGTATTATCATATATAACTAGATCACGTACAGAGCTTATTACACTTATAATTAGATCACCTACGCAGTTTACACTAGAATAAATCTACGGTTCCGTTCAGTATGAGAAATAGAAGTAGATGGACTTAGAGTAGAAACTTATGACTAGGTCCTATGACTAGAGTTATGGGGATGACTGTACAAGAAGGATACGATAAATGGGCGACGTTTTTCGACCCTGGAAGAACAAACTGACAACATCCGCTCCATCTTTGAGTGGGATCTGGATGGTATCGAACTAGACCTGCGAATGCGACGGATTGAGAAGTATCTAAATCAGATCCATAATCCTAATAGCCGCTTTTGGCTACTCGTAGTTGATCAACTAACCAAACTTTTCCCCCGAATAAAAAAAAGCAAGTATAGGTAGTAAGTATCTAATCTAATATGTCCACGAACTCGGTAGAATCTCCGAAGCCCACCTTAATCCATTTTATAAGGAATCTGTCTCCTTCCGTAATCCATTCCTCCATCCCACACTCTTCTTATAGTTAGGAGTGAATCTGAATCAAAAAATATATATACTATACCGAAGACAAAGAGAAGACATCAGGGAGCAGAGAGAGAAGAGAGCGGTTGTTGGAACAGCAAGCCCTACTTCCTTCACTGGGACACTGGCACCAAACAAAAACAAAACTAGACTGCCCGAACAACAAGTCCTGCCCCTTCCTCCCGGATCTGCATGTTGAACAAACAAAGGCACTACCCCTCATCCGAAAAAAACGAGTATTATTTCTCAGCTGGCAACAAAGAAACGCCTAGCAGAAGAAAGTAGTTATTCTTGCATCTCTGCTACTAGGAAAGTAAGTCATTGGAAAAGGACCCAACCCTTCTGAATTCGCTGAGCGAGACCTAAGATTGGAACGAACAACAATCGAAACCCTGAGCCCATCGTGTCTACCAGCTATGCAATGGCTCTACTTGAGATTCCGTAGGGAGAGCAGTCGCTAACCTTTCCTTCGGTCAATCACGGGAAATTTGCGAATCGAATCCGTTGTCATTAGAGTGATCAACTATATACGCTAATTATTCAAACAGATGATCTCCGGTGGAAATGAACCACGAGAGACTAAGCCCTGCCGATAGCAGTAGAAGCGTTAGCCACAGAGTGACTTTTTAATTGACACCCACTAGTGGTCAGTTTCTACATCCAAGTTGACTGGACCAGGTACCACATTTACCATAGGATATGCTTATTTGACGAGGTCCCTCGAGTCATCTCTGCCACTTGGAATTGCTTATGAGTTGTTCTTAAATGCTCTTCTTGGTATGAAATTGCCTACCTTACTTAAGTCTTGCTTTCCCGAGAGCCCCCATTTCATAAAATTCCACTGGTCAGTTAATTCATTATGCTTATTTTTCAATGAAAGTTGCATCCGAACATGTTTCTCAACATGAAAAAGAAAGTCATCTTGAGTTGTTAGAGAAATCAAGTTATAGCCAAAATAGTGTACCATCACATGGTTTTGATACTAAGCAGGAAAGTATAGGAATGCAATGAGGAAAGACAGATAAACACATCGCCTCGTTTAATACTTTCAAAGCATCAGTTGAATGACTATTCTGCTCCATTCGGAAATACACAAAAGTATGTCCCTTATTTGAGATCTCTTAAGATCAGCTATTTGCTAATATAATAAAGCTGGACGCTGTACTTGTCTGAAAACAGAAACTATGATGATTCACATTACTCGCTTGCTGTCCTTTCGTGGGAAAGCTAATAGGTGAACTTGCTCAACATAAAGTGGAAGGAAAGTGTAGTAGAGATATTACTCACTGTCTGAGAAGATCTACTTGAGACCTCTGAAGCAACTTCATTCCACAGGAACGAAAGCTGAATGAAAGTCCTCAAGCTTCAAACTCCTTGCTAACCGATAAAAGGAATCAAGCTTCAAGGACTATATGACTAGCTCTTCCACATCCTCGCCACCATTCATAAGGCTTTCAAGGAATATTGAGATATCTACAAAAAAGAGAAACAAACATTCTCAGTTGGTCCACTATTAGCGAGGCCTAAAGTCTTCACTTCATCAGTCTAGGAATAACACTAAAGTAGCACCCCTCACTACATTCTTGTTCATGAACATAGATCTCTAAAGAATAGTGCACTGGTACATGATATGATCTGTCGTCATGACCCATGAACTGAGCTTCTCACTAATCGAAATGGTCCTCTCAGCATGTTTCAAGGGAAGAAAGAGATCGTTTTCTCAGGATATTAGTCACCCAATCTTCCCAATAGTATTCCTTAACTCATGAATTGATACACTTGTTAATTCTCTTTCTATTTCCACTGGTTTCTTTTGTTCACTTGCAATGCGGCATTTGAATCCATTTTACTCCACTTCTCTCTCTTTTCTTCCTGATGAGGGTGATGTACTCCGGGTACCTGATCATCATGACTGAAATTCCAGAGGATTCCTTGAGTCCTCGTTACTTCGAGGTCAAATGGTGCGATGGTATTCATCCAAAATAGGAAACTGGTAGCGACTTTCATTTGATGGACTCTTCCTTCCTGTAGGAATAGGGGAGAGTGGTAACATGAGCCACCTTTCCTTTATATAGCAGTAATAGCACATGCAAGTTCCTAGGGTCTATATAGCTAGTCAAGGATCATAAAACAATTAGCAAATCATCATGTGGAATGATGTAAACTAGCCTTAAAAAGTGAAAGAAGCCCTCATACCCACTCCTCTTTCCCCACCAAACCAACGAGTAGTAGGTTGGTGTGCCTCGGTATCTCTATTTGCTAAGATGGATACCTACACCACTCAATAGTTCCAATTCATTGTTTTTTATCCCATAGGAAAGAAAATGCTTCCAGCAATTTTTTCCTTTCCTCCTCCGTCATACGACGGTCTTCACAATCTTCCATCGGAGGCTTTTCTCTGTTTTCCTCCTCCGTCATACGACGGTCTTCACAACCTTCCACCGGAGGCTTTTCTCTGTTTTCCTCCTCCATCATACGACGGTCTTCACAACCTTCCACTAGAGGCTTTTATCTGTTTTCCTCCTCTTTAGCCATTAGTTCTTTAATCATATCTTTGATCTTCTTTAGGGGAAATTTAAACATGTTCGCATCCCGCGGGAAGCGGAAAGCCAGAAAGAGAATTTCCTCCGGTTTAAGAACCGAAAGGAGTTTATCCAGATTTGGTACCAAACCTGGGAAAAACCCTAAATGTTGTCTTTAAAAATGCTATATAAGCAGGGTTATAGGAATCAATAGATTCCCCTCCCTCCGCTTCGGAGGAGCAACTTCTTCTATGGCTATGGCCAAAAGGAGAAAAGGATTCGGTGCGATGAGTCTCATCCGTGTAATATTTTGGAATTCCTCTTCCAACTCGTCCCAGAATGGACATTATGGCAAAGAACAAGAAGAAAAAGACAGAAGGAATTTGTCCAGTAGTAACAAATGGTGCCTCCACAGGTTGACATCTGATCCAACCTAGTAGTAAGCAATCTGCCAAAAGCAACCAAAATATTCCTTGGTGAATCGGTCAAAAACTTGAACTACGCACATACATTTCTTTAAAAAAAGGTAAAGCCAAGAGAGATATAAAAACTGGTGCTATTGCGGCTACACCTCCCGCTTTGTCAGGTATACTGCGAAGAATGGCATGGATCGGTAGGAAATACCATTCCGGCACAATATGAGGCGGGGTGGGCATCGGATTAGCAGGTATATAATTGTCGGGATGCCCCAAAACATTAGGAGCAAAAAAAATCCAAATGGAAAAAAAGATAGCAGAAGCTACCCGACCTACAAGATCCTTTACATAAAAATAAGGGTAAGAAGCAATTTTATCCATCTCAAAATGTACACCCAATGGATTATTTGATCCATATTGATGCAATGCGGCCAGATGAAGAATACTGGCGCCTAGTAAAATAAGGGGGAGTAAATGATGGAGACTAAAAAAACGATTTAAGGTGGCATTGTCCACGGAGAAACCACCCCAAAGCCAAGTCACTATGGTATCTCCTACTACTGGTATGGCGCTAGCTAAGCTTGTAATTACTGTTGCTCCCCAAAAGCTCATCTGACCCCAAGGTGGTACGTATCCTATAAAAGCTGTCACAATCATTAATAGGAATATGACAACTCCGAGACACCAAACAAATTCCCTAGGACTGCTATAACTCGCATGATATAGACCACGAAAAATATGAAGGTGAACCACAATGAGAAACATACTTTCCCCATTAGCATGCATATAACGGAGCAACCAACCCCCTTCAACATCTCTCATAATGTGTTCTACGCTGTTGAAAGCTAGATCCACATGAGGTGTGTGATGCATAGCTAAAAAAACTCCAGTCACTATCTGAATGACTAAACAAATACCTGCGAACGAACCGAACCCCCACCAGTAACTAAGATTGCTCGGGGTTGGATAATCTATCAAATGCTGGTTAAGTGTGGAGTATATAGGTTGTTTAAGAAGAGAGAATCGTTGGTTCCTTATAGTCATTTCTCTTTTCTATCGTTACAACTCCTCTTCCCCCTTATTTACCCCCTTGCCTTGATGGAAATTGGCTTCGCTGCGCCCTGAATAATCAAAAAGCTGCATGAGAAGATTCATCCCATTTTGGCGAGAGGGAGGCAACGAATCACCTGGGCTACGGATTTGTCGGTTATTTGATTCTCGAAATAAGGTCTTTCGAAAAAAAAACTGCCGCTTTCTCTGCCGGTTTCTTAAGGCTTCAAATGAACGACTAGTCATTAAGAAACCCATGAAATCCAAGTCTATTTTTGACCTTTCATGAAGAAGTTTTGCCTGCGGGCAAACTACCTAGCCCTTTTCGAAAGAACGTCGATTTCCATCTCAACAAAGAAAGAACTCAAAATAAATGAAAGCAATATTGTTGTCCTATTACTCTTTTTTCCTTGTGGAGCTTTGGAAAGGAGAGAATTTGAATAAAGTAACTCTTGGAAACTCTTATTGGACGAGAGAGAGTCAATATGATATTGGCGTGGGTTCTACCAACTAAACGAAGAAGTTTTTGATTGGATAAATAGCGTATAATGATAGACGCTTCTTCGGCACACAAGGAGACATACCTCCCGTAGCTGACCCCTGAATTCAAGGATACTATCGGCTTTGTTACTAACTGATAGAAACCCCTTAATACAACGTTCGTTTTTCATAAATGTCATAAGGTAGGTAGACCCAGTCTTGCGCTCGTCTGGTTAAGTGGCACATTGTGCTAAGTGCTCGAACCGTTGGCTAATCTCAGCTGTACCACCAGCAGGAAGATCGAATGGCTTAGCGCATCCTGCGCCTACTTGACCTGACTTCGTAGGATACCCTGATAGACTAGTCGAATGGCAATGGCCTAGTGGTTGTATCTACTTGCCGATTCCTATTAAGAATACGAGAGTGACAAATGAGATGGAGATCTTGGCTATCATCAAACCATCCTCCCTCCGCTTATCTCTTTCCTTTCTATATGATAACTCTACCCGCGCCTCAAGGGCCGGTCATTTACGCTCTCCACTGCATGAACAACATTCCCAACTAGATCTGTACGGCTTACGTTGTCTCCTTTTAGATTCCCGACTCTAGCTCACAGGTATCCATAAGAGCGACCAGCCCTGAATGCTTAAACCTATCAATCCTCTCCTAAATTTCTTTCTTTTTGTCATTGGGAAAGGAGCAATCCATTCAGCACTTTCCGATGGGGACCAAAAGCCACTAGGGTACCAAGAAGTCGGATTCAGTTCAGTCCTGTTTTCAAGATCCGATTCAGTGTTTGGGGATGGCTTGGTCCAAGCCCACATCCATAGTAGATGGACTTGAGTAGGCAAGTATGCCACCTACTGATATGATTCATTATGATAATTATGATATGGACCAGACAGTTGTGCAACCGATTGTACTGACTCGCTTACCCCCGAGAACACCTAAGACATGGGGGTTATTTATGCGAGTAAGCCTAGCAAGGACCAAGATCTCGATCTAGCCTAGTTGGGGCTTTAGAGTCACATGACACAGTACCAAGAACGGGAGAACCAGTAACAATTGATACGGATTTCCAACCAACGGATCTTCTTACCTTTGGACCGGAACCTTTAGCTGTTTCCTACTCGGTCTACAGCTTGGTTTGAAATGAGGGAGCCATACCATGTGGTTGAAGCAGAGTACCAGTTTGTAGTGGATAGGGCACTATCTCTATTCGTAGCAGCATTGTGTATTGCTCTCACTAGGAAAGGGGGACATAACCCCTACTATAGAGCAGGAATGGAAGGGAATGAGCTCGGCTGCTTCTCCCCCCCACTTCTTTATTTCTCCATGCCCCTATTTAGTTAGTACTTTCGAGTTAAGAGCGAGAAAATGAACTATTTCATTTAATAAAAAAGTGCAACGGCTGTAGGGTGAAAAGGCCTCGGATTGCGTATAGCAAAGTTGAAGAAGGCATTCTAGGAGCTAAAGGCGTCTCACTCGTCTCTCATTCGCTTGATGCTTAAGTACCGGTTTGCTTCTACGTCTACAGTTGAACTTGAAGGCCTCGGATTCCGAAACCTGTAGAGCTTGCATGGTGAAGAACAAGTACGTACTTCATACGAAGAAATGGTAGTCGGACTCCTCTGGTTTTCTCCACAGTAGGAGTAAGCATAATCCTAAAGCCGGCCCAATGGGCTATATTTCTTTAGAGTACTGAAAAAGTATGCTTTTGTCGGAGGGAGATTGCTGGGTCTATGTAGAATAGAGAAGCAGCAAAAGAAAATAAATTGAGTAGCCAAAGGCCTCGTGCGCAGTATGGAAGGAAGAGAAAAAATGCACGGTATGCAATGTATGATGATGAACGTATGGAGTTAGTTCGGTGGGTTGGTTGGGGAGTAGGGCCGGGGGGAGAAACTTGTCCCTTCTTGATGGCGAGTATATGCTTCGATCGATTCTTGTGCTCCCTATGCGCGTGTTCTTGATCACCGAACAAGTTACAAAATAAGTTTATGCGCTCCTATCCTTGTTCTTGTGAGTCCTTGTGAAGCTACATTGGTGATGGTTGGTGGTAGATGCGGATTACCAGCGAGCTCTGGATGCTACTCTTAGGGATATTATTACCGTGCTTTTTTGCTATGGTTAGTCATGATTACTGATCAGTTGAGCAGTTGTTTTGAATGTACCAATTTTATTTTTTCATTTATTTGTTTCCCCCCATTTGAAACAGGGCTCAAGTCGCTTCCTGAGATGCATTTCACACCTGACTCACCTCCCACGCCTAAAATGTCTCCAGGTAAACGTTTTTCTGCTTGTCTAGTAATTCGGTGAATCTGCGGCCACTAATGCCATTCAGAGACTATTGGCCATTTCGGCTTTCGCACCGTATGATCCCTGCTCATCTGCCCACAACAAAACGGAATTTTTTTTATTTCACTTGTAGTGTTCTCTCCATTTCTTGTTATATGCTACTATAGGGCTATAGGAATACAGATTCAAACTTGATTGTATGATAAAACTGATTATTGATTCAATTCTTCTACTCGCAGCATCTGTTCTATTAACTTGTAACTACCTACTAATTACAGTATCGAGTGTCCTGGTGATGCGGATGCTATATATATAGTCTTCTCAAACTCTGAGTGCACAGATCTGTTAAGTTGTAACTATACCTTCTAGTTTTTTAATCTGAGCAATCGTTGATCATCTCATCCATTTGGTCGTTTGAACACTACACTTGAATTAATATCTTTGCGGAATCGTTGATCATACTTCATGTGTACTAATTGAAATCAGTTGTGCATGTTCGTGCTGCTGCCGCCCCAGGACAAGTGAAGTGCCCCCGTCGACTATGGAGGAGCTTTCGACGTCCGTGCCGCGCGATCAGTCGGGATCGGTGGCCTTCAGTTCCTGCCGGATTTCCCTTGTGACGTTAGTCCTCGCAGCAGCAGCTGCAGCCTTGATCACATTGTTGTTCTGATACATGCTTGTCTGACCTCGCTCTTGAACTTGTGCAGGTCTGCTTCGTCTTTCTTGATCGGTTCCTCGTGTTGCATACAATGAAGTGGTGTCATGTGACACTTGGCATAATCTCTGAAAACTCCTGACTGGTTCGGTGTGGTTTTGTTTATTCAACACCAATTGCCTTAGCTTTATTTTTCTAAAGGAGACAGAGAAGAGAGTAGCTAGATTTATTTTTCTATTTTGATTTACAAATGGTCCGGTTTTATTTCAAAATGGTCTGTACTTTTCGATCTTTGGGCTTATTAAGCTTAAGAATCTTACTTAATAGGAGAAAATAGCCTCCTAAACATATGTCTAGCAACTGGTTCACCAGGAGTACGCAAGAAAGGCAAAAGCACTACGAATTATTGATTTAGGAATGGGAATGGGCTAGAACCCTGGGTTCTTCCTTATATAATTAATGGTATTTTTATTCTAATACTCTATCCGAGAGTTCTCAGTATTTAGCAAAGCTGTTCCTATCTAATGGATAAAAACAGGATCAAATGACAAAGACATTGTTTGTGGAGAAAGAGGTGGCTTTTCCCGGATGAAATGAAACATTTGATTTGTGTAACAGGAGAAAGATTTCCCACTCCTTAGCCATAAAGATATGTGGCCATGAAAAAGGGAGCGGATTCAGTGGAACAAGATTGGCCGGGCGGTAGAGTCGTGGAAACACTTGTTGATTCCTATTTTGGATCCTAGCTCCATGGAACAATATGCTACTGCAGAAACATGGAAGAATTACAATCTTAGATCAAAACACTATGTGTGAAAGCTTGATAAGGGTCAGTTACTTGTACATTTGATTAGTATGAGCCACTCACATCGTTTTTAAGGATAGCTGGGAGTAGGACCCTACAATAAAGAGCAGATAGCCCACATGAATCATGGGAATAACAATACGAGGCCTTTGACGAGTAAAGGAGAAATGCAAGATTTGGATCCGCAATTTCAACAAGTAGTTCGTGCTTCGTCGGCAGGGGAGACTATAGGCCATGAAAACCCACCCCTGGTATCTCCACCTATGGATTGAGAGTCAAAAAGTGTGAATTTCGTATGTCCCGCTGGCACATGATTTCAATTACTTTTCTTGTTTCCCGTTTCGGAGATCCGATAATGGAATGCTAAATCGATATCTGGGGTCAAGCCAGGGTACTTATCCTCCCGTCTATAAATCAATGACCAATAAAATACCAAAGCCGTGAGAAATCAAGGGGCGGACAGGAGCAGCATCGTAGCTAGGAACAGGTGCTGCACCATAGCTAGTAGGAAGAAGTACAGCATAGCTACATTCCCCATAGGGTTGGCGCCCCTCTTCTCCAATACAAATTGAATCATAGCAAGGGCTAAGCTATCTTAAAACCTACTTATCAATCTATTTATAGAACTCAATAATACTATCCATGAGATCATCATAACAAAAACTAGAATTGCCCAGCGAAATAGGAATAGAAAGAAATCCAGGGTAACTTGTATCCTGAAATGGGTCCATTCCAATTGGAATTCCGTACGGCTACAAC